TGATTCCATTACTATTTAAACGTATTTCAACTAGATGTGCATTATGCAATACACTTATCAAAGAACGTTTTATTCAAGGAATGTACTCGTATAACAAAATGATATTACACATCTTATATAATCCAAATGAATAAAAATGGTTGATAAGAGGACGACGTTGCGTTTACCAAAAAATTGATAACCAAACACTTATTTATATATCAATGCTTTTGATTACGTAAACCGTTGGGAATTTGATCTATGAGTATTTGATTCCTTTATAAAAGTCGATTCGTTTAGGGATACTTTTTCCAAAAGTAATAGAAATCAATTTTATAAAGATATTTTTATTATTCCATCAAGAAAGTATTCTTAAAAACTTATGTTTTGCAAATTATTACTTCCTACGCCACTGGTGGCGAAGCTAGAAATAAAAACAGATGAACAAATAAAAATCGGTCAAACTGTGTTTTTCACATTTCACAAGCTCGTGATAATTTGACGTAGAAAATTGTATGAGTTTGTTGGAGTTGTGAGGGGTGAGAGAAGGTATATCTCATTTTTTTTGCGGATAGTATGCTTAAACGCTTTCAACTTCGATAATTCCTTGCACCTCTCCGCAAACATTTACACATGATAGATCTTTCAGTACATTTGTCTTTAAAACATAATGATAGAGAAATGTTTCAAATACACGCGCCCCACGTAACGCATCTAACCTTGATACACCTGCTTCGATGTCTGAATCGTGCCTTGACTGATGGAGATGGGTGGTTGGAGAGTCTCGAGGTTAGTCATAGCAACGTTACCAGTACTGTCGGAAGTCTAGAGGAGAAATTTTTAAATCATAACTTGCCAAATGTGGGTACTATGGACTAATTATACAGGGTGACTTTGAAGTTGAGTCATTAATTTTCAGATAATGATTGTAGAAGGAAGATAAACCAAAATATGTGTGTAAAAATAAAAAAAAATAAAAAAAAATTTTTACCTTGTTTTATAAAGTATCCTCCCGACAAGTATTTCAGTGCGGACCTGTATTTGATCGTGAGGTCCCCTGTGAGGTCTTAAGTCACCTGATTCACAAGCCCGTTGTACTACATTAACAAAGGCACGAGGGGTTGGTTGCACTCGATTGGGAAACCGATCCGCATAAACATGTGCCATTTTTTATTTCGTTTGAGCCACGCAACACATACCACCATTCACTGACACTAACTGTATACAAATGAATGAGATACCTGTAAAAACATCGTTCCAAATTCTTTCGCTTTTTTGTTTCCGATGCGATGAACCGATACGGCGAATTATATCCGTTGTCGCCAAACACGACCACATAATATTGTTATTGAGACAGGGCGGTACTCAAACTTCCAAAGGGCTATAACTTTGTTACTTTAATTTTACCAGAAAAATGGTAAAGGAAAAAAACATTTCTTTTGATCAGATCTACTCACTGTTAAAATAAATGACTCAACTTCGAAGTCACCCTGTATAGGCCTGATTTACTGACTTGGTCTATTCATATTTGTAATACATATCTGTGGCTTATTTTTTTCTTAGAGGGGCTAACTTGTGTCCTTTTGTCCTGAAAGCGTGGCGTAACGTAGGAAGTGCAGAGTCAACTTACTTAACGTCACTTTTTTTAAAGAATTGGCAGTTAATGTTAATGGTTTCATTCAGTTAATCCGATATTAGATGAAGCGCCCAAGCATTTCGACTGATGTGACTGATAACGTGTGTAATTCTGGCTTACAGTTTTTCAAAGGTACCCGGCTGATCCATGTAGACTTTGGACTTTCCACGGTTTTCATGGCCAATTTGTCGGCCTGAAGCGATAAATTAACTTAGATTTTTTATCACGTTCATTCTCGGTTACTACTGCAATAGTTTCTTCAGTACAAGCTTATGTTGTCTATTTGGTCTGCCATTGTCCGATGCCCTTTATTATGATAAAGATTAGGGTTCGACCGAAGATTCGGCCTCAGCTTCAGCTTCAGCCACATGCGGCCAAAAATATTCCTTCGGTTTCGCTAAATTTAGAAAATTTAAAGTACTCACGAGAAATTTTGAAATGCCGTAAACTGAAAGAGCAAAAATGCACATAGTTGTGAGTTGTTAAGGGGTATTGGCGTATGTACTTATATATAACTATTATGTATCCATCGAAGAAAGAGAAAAGTATGCAAAATTATTGCAGGCATGTATAGGGTCCAAACGTAAACCTTGGAATTAATGTATTTTTTAATTTAACTGTCATGACAGAAAAGAAAACAACTGTCTATTGTTGTTTTTAGTAGAAGTGTTTTATCAAGAAATTATACTCGAAATGTGTCGTAAAGGGGCATTTATAAAGTAGGCTTTTAAAAAATGTCTGGACATATTAAAACAACAATTTGCATATGCATGCAAGTATACCTAACCACCGCTTGAACAGTGACATTAGTGTGCAAACAGTTAATTTTAATATTAGTTTAAAAAATGAATAGTTAGGTGGAGTTGAAAGAAAAAGGATTTGAATACATAATAATACAGGGTGTCCGCAAAGTTGGGGTTTTCCTTTACACGACGTCTAGATCTTGAAAACATAAGCAATTTTTCTTAGTACCATATACACCAATGTCTTAAGGGAACCGAGATAAGGGCTCTGCAACATCAAAAATATCTGAATACCGTCCTGTAGCCGCGACCCGCGACATCACCGAGTGGTACAAGGTCACTGGCTCAACCCGACGACAGAACTGGGTCGGGTCAGTATGCAACCTTCAACCGACGGTTACGGTTGCGTAGACAAGAATCCCTCAACAAGCACTAGTGACGTGGCTAGAGAAGTGCAAGTATCAAAATCTAAAGTGTGGCAAACGCTGCGTGAATCCGTTTCACGTCCAACGTGTACAAGCTCTTCAACCTGACGATTTTCTAGCAAGAGTGCGGTTTTGTGAGTATTTGTTGCATCAACATGACAATAATCCGGACTTTTTGAAGTGCATATTGGTGACAGACGAATCTACGTTCACGCGTAATGGGGTGAATAACTTTCGCAACACTCATGTTTGGTCAGTAGAAAATCCGCACGCTGTCCATCGGGCACATTTTCAACAAACATTTTCGGTGAATGTTTGGGCTGGCATGCTGGCATTGGACCATTTATTCTCCCAAATCGATTGGACGGATGCAATACCTAGACTTTTTACGCAACATTTTGCCTTCCTTGTTAGAAGATGTGCCATTAAGTAAGACAATCAATGTGGTTTCTGCACGATGGTGCACTGCCCCATGTGACTGAAAACGCGGCAACGCCGTCATATTTGTTACCTCTGTTCGTGGTCTGCACCACCGCCGGCGTCTGCTCGGTAGCGCATGAGCTGATTTCATTTTCTGTTGGAGCGGTATGATTTCGGGCAGAGACGTACTTAGCCCTTCTCGTCAACTGGAGAGTGAGTACTTTTTCCTTTATTTTTTTTTACTTGGTCGCCCTCGTTTCACTACACATTACCTTTGTTATTTCAAGGGTACTTGTTTCTGAAAAGGACAACCCCAACTTTGCGGACACCCTGTATATACTAAATATTATACAAAAATTTATTGCACAGACATTTTACCTCTAAAACCTGAAATATATATATTTGAAATGAAAATCATTCTAGATCTGAGGCCGTCATCAAGATTTATGATTGAAGGGGCAACTGAGTAGGTATCAATGATACCGTCTAATTCCCACATTTTAGGTTCGACCTTTGCTTTTACATGCTGATACATTTTCCCACTTATTCGGTGTTATTCTTTGTTTAGCATCATGAAAAATATTTTAAGGTCAGAAAATTTAAAACATTTATTTTCTGCTGCAACATATTTTTTTAAGTTCAATCGGGTTGAGCTCACAATGGTAATGAGGCAGTCGTAAAACAGTTTTTAAATTGTTTTTTTTTGCCATTTCATCAATTATGTTCAGGTTATATTTATTTTTATGCTTCTTGACAATGTGTAACAATTCTGCCTTAACCGTTGTATCATCATTATCAATCTTTTTATTTTAAGCCATCCTTGAATTTCTGATTTTTTTGTTGACGTTGTTGGAATTTTCTCTAATTTTCTCGTGTGGAATGAAGCATTATCTAATACTATAAGCGAATTTTCTTCAAGCTTCGGTAGAGAAAAATAATTCATTTTGGACACTTTAAACCGCTCCTATTGAAAGCATTAAAACCCCAACAAAATGATTACTTGATTTCTTATCTCGATATAGTTTAAGCATGTACAAAAACAAAAATAAAATATAATTCTAGTTGAAATTCCTCGTTTTACAAGTATTGAAAAATATGTAGGTGTCAGCTTTGCAAACAATGCCTGACTTTAGTCACTGCTTCCTTGCATTTCGTATTTTTAAATGTTGATAATTGTTTTGTTTTTCCTTAACGCTAAAATGAAGCCTTTTAGCTCTTTTTTTAGAAAGTGTGCAGCTAATATCAACAACTTCATCAGCTGTATCCGTATCAGACATTTTGAGTTCTACAAAATTAAGCTGACAAATCTGATAAGCACACAGTAATACCAGTATAAATCTGATGCCAACTCTGTACTGTACGGCCAGTCACCGGGACAGCCGGCATGCACGGTCGTATCGTCTCCCACTCCACCCTCTGGTTTGTCATTGGTTTTGTGTAAGGGCTCGACCTATTCTGCCCAATTACAGTTATGCTCCCTCTCCCTTGAAATGTATCATTGTGCTGATCACGCAATGATCACGGTTTTGCGCTTTGGTTTAGTCTCTTTTTTCGGTACATACATAATAGTGGTTCTTAATCCATACCATGTTATTGGCAATAATATAACCGAATGTAATCATTATACCGGGATAACATTTCGTTAACATAAAAAGCTCATAGAGGAACAAAACTAACTGGAAGAACTTCTTCCTTAGTTGGGTATCGATCCAGCATGTAAAGCTTTAATGGGTATAATAATATGCTTATGTTGCATCAATACACAAATGATTATTACAACTGGCGGGGTGCATCCACATGACCATTCTACTCGACTATTCACTGAATTACAAACAAAAGGTAAGTTTGTAAGCCTTGATATCGGCGTGTACATTAAACATTGCCCAAAAAATTACCATTGCATAATGTTTACTTCCTGAACGTATATAATTTCCTCGGTTATCTTAAAATAAACATATATCTAAAAATACGCATCGCCGCTGGCGTGTATTACGCGAAATATATTATATCAACATCGGGGGCCGTCCTCATATCATTACATCAACGGAACATGAGGGGCAAAGTAACATTTGAAAAACAAGAAATCAACTCGCATTCGACAACCAATGCGACATCTGACAACAAAATTATTAAGTTTACTGAAAAATAAGTAGTGAAATGTAGTAGCAGATGTTATCGTCACACGATCTTAACAGTGGCGGAGCTAGAGTAAACTAGTAACGGAACAAGAACTGTTTGTGGGCACAATCCAATACCCCAGGAAACACCGAAATACTGCAGAATGGAGTTAAAGGAGTCATATTAAACTGACTGAAATGGACAGAACTACAGATAGCTTCTGGTGGATTGTTTCACATTTTCGATAGCTCCAGTCAGTATGGTGGCTTTGTGGAGGTGAGCCCAGAAGAACAGATTCCGTTTATGTATCAAAAAAAGAACCAAACCAACAACAGCCCATCATTAAGAAAGAAGCTTAAACACCTTGTCAAGGAAATATAAAACAGACCAATTTATTAGAAGTGAAGTTGGATTGCTTTCCTCTAAACCATATCAAGTGTGGACATTGTAGTCCGGATAACAACCTACCAGGCATGTAAGCAATATTTCAGTCTCCTACGAGCTTTAGGGCATTTGTTAGTAGAGAATGCACAGCGAAAGGTTCTTCCTTCCTGAATTTGTTAATGAAAATGGTGTCTCCAGTAAATTTCACTGGCCGAACGGCTTCTTAGTATAAGCCTCGGAGGACAGGATATTACTTGATTTGGTTCAGTTCTGAGCCTTTTGAGCACCTACAGGTGCACGTTCTTGTGTTCCGGGCCAGGACCATTTCCATCATCTGGAAGGAACATGCTACCAGTCCTGTGTATAAGTCATCAGAATTTTCTCAATGTCGCAAAATGATCTAAATCTAAAATACCCAGTAAAAACATCGAGAGAATCCAACGTCGTTTTGTGAAATACTTACGGTTTAAAGATGATAGAGCGTACCCTGAAAGGGGTATACGCAATGACATTCTCTCGATATAATTTACATAATTTAGTCAAACGTATGAATCTGTTAGCTGCTAAATTTTTATGTAATTTGTTGAATGGAACAATTGTTTGCTCTTTTCTTCTAGACAGGATCCCTCCACGCGTTCCCGATTTGCGTAGTCGTCATGGTGATAACAACTCATTTTATTTACCTGTTCCGCGGACAAATTTATTGTTATTTTCGCCTCGTTATGTTATGTGTAATGTCTGTGACAGTGTAAGTGAACTTGATATTTTTAGTTCCACCAAAATCGATTTCAAGAGGTGTTTTTTAACAATTGGATAATGTATATTTTTGTATCATTTTTTGTTTTTTCCCTGCCTGTTAATTGGATCACTCTGTTCAGGCAGTGTATGGATTATTATAAATAAATAAAATGAAGTCCAAATGACTAAAGCTTGCGTAAGGTTACGTCTATGCTACGGATGGAAAACTTTTGTATGATTCGAAAATCAACCTAGTTGCGGCGGAGCTGAAAACAAAAAAAAACGAAAAAAAAAGGAAATACGTCAAACCTTGTTCCTTCGACATTTCAGATATTCAGCAAAAAAATTGTATGGGCTAAAAATTCGAGGTCGGGAGCCAACATACTTGATGCCATGTTTTCAGGTATCTTAAAAGGTGAAAATCAATCGAAATCAATGATTCTGCTCCAATCGGTTGCTCCGTCACTGTATTAGAGAGAGAGCCGTCCGGCACTGAGGAACGGAGACGGCAGATCCACGTGGTGCGCTTTTATTATTTTTTCTGGTCGTCCAGGCGTTTTCGTTTTTCGCGGTTGGCAGTGTGCGTGGTCTCGTGGCGTGGCGTCGTAGAATTATTGCGTGAATCGACGCGTCTCGCCGCGCGCGTCGCGCAATCGTTGCGACCTTGACCGTGTCAGCATCGTGGACCTAATCATCATCGCACCGAGAAATTCTATTCGGTCTATGATCATCATCACGGGACCCTGGATTGCCATTGCAACTATTGGCTTCTAGTTCTCTTTGGCTTTTAAATCTGCAAACTTTATTAAGGTAGTCTTAGCAACTTATCCGCACTTTTATTTTAAAAACTACATCAACGACAGATTGAAAATATTTTCCAACGTCTGGCAACCCTTAAAAGAAAATGTAATTTGTTGTCGAACAGTTCCTGTAGTATCTAGTACCACATTCCGTACAAGTTTTAATATCGACGGTCCCTTTACAATGATAATAATTTTACAATATTAACATTAATATTATTACAGCTGTACCTTATATCAGCTACTCATCCTGATTACATAATATTAATTTCTATATTTATATTTTAAAAGAATTTTTTTTATTTACTACAAAGAATAGACACCTAAGCTATAAGCTTGTGTGTGTCACACAATATACAAATTCAATGCATGGCTAATGGTCATAAAGTGTATTATGAGCAAATGTACATATATAAAAAAAGAAATAAAAACATTAGACGGAAACAAAATGACTGGGTTGAGGCAAGCTACAATCGATGCAAGCATGTCAAAGTTATTGAAGATGAACTTATTAATTCTTTTTTTGAAGCTATACTTCGAGAGGATTTTATATTCGAGGGGTAATTTATTATACAACCTAATACCATCAAACTTTATGCATTTTTGGCAAACAGATTTACTCACTTTGATATACGTGCAACTTATATTTATTTTAGTTCTTGTTTCGTAAGCGTGGCTGGTTGGAACGTTGTTTCTGGAGTGAACAAATTTCAGATCAGCAAAAATATATAAACCTCTAACATTCAAAAGATCATTTTCAATGTAAACGAATTTGCAACGTGACCTACATGGGATACGAGAAATAGACCTGACAATATAATTTTGCGTGGTTTGTAATATTTTTAAAGTACTAGTGTATGCGGCTCCCCATATACTTATCCCGTAAGTTGGTAGAGACCCCACAAACGAGTTATATATTCTTCTGCTTAAAATATTCCTAAGAATGAAAAACTTATGAGTAATTCCCCTTAATTTCGATGCCAGAAGCTCGGCATGACTCTGCTATTTTAAATTACTGTCAACAATGATGCCTGCTTTGGTTGGAGACAACGTCACATACTTAGTTTTAGAGATATTAAGTTTAAGTAAATTGTTATCCAGCCAGCATTTGACTTTATTTAATGACAACTCTGCATTCCGTATTGCGTCATCCCATTAATGACCAGTGCAAACTAAAACAGTATCGTCTGCATATGATATCATTTTACAGTTGAAATTGCATCGAAGTAGTTCATTTATGTATATGAGGAACAGTGTTGGTCCCAAAACCGTCCCCTGAGGCACACCTATTTTGGTCTTTTGAATGCTGCTTAAATCTGACGCTGCCTTAACTTGTTGTAATCGATCAGCCAAATAGTTCTCAAATAAGCTCAAAACTCCACTACGCACTCCAACACTTTCTAGTTTCTTCAATAAAATTGTATGAGATACTGAATCGAAAGCCTTTTGAAGATCTATGAAAACTGCAACAGTCTTATCTCCATCTTGGAAATTTTCAAGCACTTGTCCTATAAGTTCTTGTAGAGATTGGCTCTGTATTGCGGAACCCAAATTGACAGTTCGATATTATTTCATATTTCTCAAGAAAAGAACAAAGTCTGCCATTCAAACACTTCTCAAAAATCTTCCCAAATACATTGATAACTGAAATAGGTCTATAATTGAACATATTGTCTTTACTTCCAGATTTAAATATTGGTGTCACTATGCTTTCTTTAAATTGGCGAGGAATTACTGAGGATTTGAAACAGAGGTTGATAATGTGAGTTATAGGGTGACTGATGTACTTCATGATCATCTTGACTATACTGATACTAAACACCATATGGCTTCCTTTTGTACTATTTGACGAACTGCTGATTTTTAAATATGTTTGCCTTCAGTCGTATGTCTTTTCTTTCTTCCTTTCTTTATGTTTTTCCCAGCACACAAGCTCAATTGTCCAGACATCCATATCGTGGTTGACTCACACTAGGCTGAGGCGCAAAACCAGGAACCGTGGTCAAATGATTCTCTGTGTCCGGTGGTACGATCAACAACTCACCTTGATACGTAACAGCCACTGCATATCAAATTGCGGCGAGGAGGAACCTCTATTCATCATCAATAACGAATTGCAAGACGATCTTTCTGACAGCAACAGGATATTCACCATTTTTTTTTTTGTGACCGTCGAGCTCGGTCCAGCTGGTCCTCCACGGCATCAGGCGGGTCCGCGGCGGGTCGCACGATAACGTCACGTTTGTTTGTTTCGCTAATGAGTGGGTGTGATTTTAATCATCTAAAATTATGCATTAGACAACACACTGGCTTTGAAATATATAGTCAGCAAAAAAATAAAAGAAATGGATATTATACAGGGTGGAGGGACAGCAGGGCAGAGCTGCAAAACTGCACAAACTTTTGTCTTAACAGAAAAAAGCAGTAGTAATTTGATCATTATTTATTTTCCATGTTATCACACAAATAGAAACAATACCCTCAACGCTGTCCCCGCAAGATACGGCGTCGAGTCTGTTTTGTATTGAGAAAGCATTATAATCGACCAATTGTGTACTTGTCATTTTCGTCGCGACCGCAGCGTAACATTATTCATGGGCCACTTCAAAAGGGTCTGTGCACTACTTGGACACAAGCCACAAACGCTTGCTTTTGTCTCTCTCTACAAAATCAAATGGACGATTTAAGCATGAGCATGTGCTGCACGTTATACAGATCCGTACAGATCTAATGCGAAGTACGATATCTGATTGGTCGGTCGGTGCTCGGTATAAGATTTTGCGGAGCATTTGAATTGGA